CACCTCCCTGCTGGCCAAAAGACCAGCCAGGAGGGGCACGGGTGCAGTATACAAGTGGAGGCACTCACCGCTCCCATGGCCTTGTCCACTAAGGCTTGCTGCCTTAGGGAGCTCTGAGTCTTGGTAAGGTAAGGAACTGCTTGCTTTTCAGCTCCTTTCACTCACCTATCTCCACCCCCTCCATTTCTGGCCTTTTGGCCGTCCTGTACTCTGTCACCTCTACCAAATCTGCTACCCAGCGCTCCACCAGCCCAGCTGACCTTTGCTGTCATCTTCCTTCCGCTGCTGATGTGGTATACCTGAAATGGGTCGTGAAGCAACTGACTTGCATATGTTGGGCCAGGCTTACAGAGGACATCCAGCAGAGTGCAGGATGCCACAAAGGCCAGATATGGGGGTGGGGGGAGAAAGTAGGGGCGTCTGGCCCAGGAGGGCAGCCAAAATTCTAAAGCATTAAGCAATTTAAACATTCCAGGAAATCTGACAATTCTAGCAATTTCACTCACTGTGTAACTAAAAGGGACCAGAAAGGTTTAAAATAAGCTTTCAAACAACTGCTGATGTTTACAACAATTTTGTTTCATTCCTTACGTTATAAAAAAAAACTTATTGTGCAGAGTCTATGAGCTTATCAAGGCTAAAATTTTGAATCAGAAATCCAATGACCAGAGTTAACAGTGACTCAGATATCCAGTTAAAGCCAGCACCATGTCCTTCAAATGCTTGGCTCCATACTGAGTGCTGATCCATATAGTGTCTAAAATTAAGATTCCAGAATTATCAACATAAGTATCTTGTTAATGTAATATAGGATAGTGACAATTTCCTTCTTATTTTTATTAAAAAATTAAAATTCACAGGCATACATTTTAGATTTTTCTTTGACTACAGGCAGTCCTTGACTTATAATCCTAATGGGACTGTAATGTCCAATATTAAGCAATGTGGTCATTAAGTGAGCCATACCTGACTTTACGACTTTAACCACAGTTGTTAAGCAAATCATTCAGTTGTTAAGTGAATCCAGCTTCACCCATTGACTTTGCTTGCTTTTGATCACATGATCATGGGCACATTAGTGTCATCATAAGTCATTTTTTCAGGGCTGACATAACTTTCAAAAGTCATTAAACATATGGTTATAAGTCAAGGACTTCCTGTAAAAACTAAATTAGCTGCTATATGTATAAAAATAAGTCCTCTGATAAAGACATAATACTTCATATAAGGAGAAGTTTCCTAATGCTTTTAAAAATATCATGTTGTTAAAATTAGCAGCATGAACAGAAAGTACAGGAAACAGGAAGTGCAACTGAGCTTCTGCTTCCTGTGTCAGCTTTCTCCTCGCATCTTGACTTCTTGTATTAACCCAGGGGTGTCCAAACTTTAAGACTTGTGGACTTCAACTCCCAGAATTCCTAGCCGGCTAGGGAATTCTGGGAGTTGAAGTCCACAAATCTTAAAGTTCCCAAGTTTGGACACCCCTGTATTAACCCATGAAAGATGCAGGTTTCCTTTATGATCTTAAACTCTTTTAGTTCTGTACATTCTACCAGTCATCCGCTTTTGAGTTTGTGTAGATAAATTTATTTTCTAATTGAAGCTTTTTGTATCCCCCTTGACAGGAAAACTATTTTTGATAGTTTGTTGGCCTAGTACAAGTATGCCACTAATAGGAAGAAAAACTCTACTATAATGTTCTAACACATACACAAATTCAGGATAAAAAGATCAGCTTTAGTACGTACCTGGTGCGTAAACGGAGACTGCATAGTCATTCTCAATACTTGCTGATAGTCGCAGTGGCTGACAGCTCTTAGAAGAAAATTCCACTTCCATTTTTATTTGCCTATCCAATTTACACTTTAGGATTATAAAAATGGTTGTCTGCACCTACATTAAAAAAAAAAACATAGTAAGAACTAGGGCCTTTGGAATATTCAGTTTTCACAATACATTGGTATCTTTTGGGGCATGAGGATCTACATGCACAAGCCCAGTGATGGAATTCAGCCAGTTCCCACCACTTTGGGAGAACCGGTTGTTAACTTTCTGAGCAGTTTACTGAACTGGTTGTTAGAAGAAATCATTAGCGCAGAGAACCGGTTGTTAAGTTATTTGAATCCCACCACTGCACAAGCCTTCCTTATTTGTGCTTGGGGTGAGGCAGAATGCACCTTCTTTTTCAATCCTATATGGATGGCTGGTGAGCCTGATAACATTGGTTCAGAAGGAGTGAAACAATTTTTATTCTCATCACAACTTGATTGTGATGACAGTGCTAATGAGAGGAGACATTGCTGTCCTTCATTTAGCAAATTCATAAGTGGCATGCAATATTAAAAGCATCAAAATATGTTTTAAGCACTTAATAACAAATATAAGCTCTACCACTCAGCAAATGTCAACCACAATTTTTTCTAAAATATGTATTTTTTGAAAAAAAGATGAAAAGTTTTACAAAGCTATGATTACAAAACTAAACTCATTTTGCCTGCTGCTATTGACTCTTATGTCAATTATAATTTTCTATCAGTTTTCATTAAACATTTGAATGCACATCGCCCCATTGAATTAACATTGCATTTTATTTCAGTTATTCCAAAGACTTATTTATCCTTAAGAGTCATGTTCAGCCTGCAAAGATATATGAAACAGTTAGATTCTTAAAACTGTCCAAGGATTTTCCAACAGGCTTGGTGCACATGGCTTGTGTCTCCTCCCTCCACAACAGTTCGCTGAACCCAATCTACCCTTTTTGCAAAGAAGATCAGGTGACTAAAACAACTTCAGGATTAAAGAAATTGTAGTACAGTATTATGAAGACCCAGAATGGTATAGGGCAGAAATGATTTTAAAAGAAGATATTTGTCCCTCCAGTTTGTTCCACGGAAATATTTAAAAAGGCTGAAACTAGAAGACATCCAAGGTCCCTTCCAACTCTGTTACTCTATTATTCATGCAGAAACTGCCACATGTGTTGTCAGCCCCCATCTCACTCTGGAGGAGTTGCAAATCCATGGCTTCAGTTCCTCATGGACACTAAGCTCCTTCTGGAATACCCGAGAGTAGCTTTGGCGGGTGTCCCAGCTGAAGCACTTTAGAGAGCAGGAGACCTTAGCAAAAATTACCAATATCTTCGTTGCTCCTGGACTGGTTTACTGTAATAGTCGCTTTGCTTAGATCTACCCTTAAGATTACATGAAACTATAATTGTTTCAAAACTCAGCTGCACAGAGGTACCCTGTGTTAAGATGGGTAGCCAACACATTTAATTAATTTTAAAAAAATGCAGTAGCCTACTTGCTGGCAGGTAAGAAACACTTCTGAAGCACAGAACCGATATTGATGTTGCTACTCTGATTAGCAACTTTCTCAATGAAACCAATAAATCTCTATATGATTTGGGTCTGGGTTAACCAAGGTACCATTTCCTCCAAATTGAATTTTCTCATCTTATTTGTTCATTATGGCAGGGATGCTGTAGATTTTCTCTTTTCAGGACATTGTGGAGGAAAGGGGAGGAAATAAGCCAGAAACCTGGAAACCAACTTTCTTGGTACAAGCACTATCTTTTTGGTAGATTCAGGCCAAATATGCAGCCACAAAGATATAAAAATCATTATACCTATGTCTAAGCAGAACAACAACATCATTAAAAGCCCAGCAACATACCGTATTTTTCGGAGTATAAGGCACTCCGAAGTAGACGCACCTAAATTTTGGGGGAAGAAAACAAGAAAAAAAATCTGCCTCCCAGCAATTTGCCTCCTTGCAGCAAACAGCAAACAGCCTGTTTCAGTTTCAGTTTAGCCTGATTAGCACAAGAAAAAAAATCTGCCTCTGCCTCCCAGCAGTTTGCCACCTTGCAGCAAACAACGTGTTTCAGTTTCAATTTCAACAGAGCCTGATTAGCACAAGCGACTGATTGTCAGTTGGATCAGCCTCTCGACGATCAACTGTTTCAGGCTGCAGGGATTGCCATAGCCTATTGCCACCTCTGTGCACCCCATTTTTTTTCAAATTCAACTTTGTTTTATTTTCATTTTCATTTTACAATCACTTGTATACTGTGCGATTAAACACAACTCATCTTATATTCCACCATAGGAAACCAACATAACACTTCATCCTCCATACACCCTTTCTTCT